CCTACGCAATGACTTGCGGGGGCCAGCCGATGTACAAGTCAGTGTTTTTATCCTCCCAGACAAGTCTGGTACCAATTAACCGACCCCGGAGGGATGGAAGGCTTGGTTGGCCCGGGCGACTCACGACCCAGGATTTGATCCCCGGACCGCTCGCGTGGTAAGCGTGCCACTTGCCACTACACCACTTCCGCCCTTTCTGGGCACATGATAATGTATTATTTACAGGCCAGCGAAAAAAGATCGTATATAACCCATCAACGCAGATTATCGTGGCCACTTACCTGGTTCTGCAGGCCTGCTCTTGCCGGAGCTAAAATTTTCGACGCGTAAAGGGCACTCCCTACAAACGCCGTTGGCGCAGTTTCGTGCTTTATTCAGCTGCTCATTCGTTGAATATGTTGTGACTGCAATTTGTTCTGTCGTGGCAAACAGACAAGAGGACTCAAGCCACTTCCTTGTGACACGGTGCTAGTGATCGCATCCACGATCGCGCTTCGCACTAATCATCTTTGACTATGACTACTCGAACATTGCGATCACCCACCTCCATTGCTCCAACCAGGAAAGTCTTTCAAGGCATGGAGCGCTTTTTCAAAACGCTTTTCTGCATGTTATAGAGAGACGGCAGGGAGCATAAAATTGAGAACCATTTTTTCTGAGCGGCTCTGGGAATGCCAAAAAACATGTGAAACCAGGGTTGTGGTTCGATCCCCACTGAGGACAAATTTTGCATTTCTCTTATTCTCCACATTCTTGGGCTCATACATGTCTGAACTTATTCAGTGAACAAAAACTCGGACTCGGAACAGTAGGAATGCTTTTATACTTTGACACACGCTTTATTATACCACTATCCACTACCTCAACCGGGGTCTTCGTCAGAACTAAACTCAAACGGGGTCTTCAACAGAACTAAACTTATGTTCCATGGTGAGCCTTTTTAACAACTAGTGAAGCCACTGACTTACGTCAATTCAAGACTTACTGAAATGTTCAGTTTGAGCCCTTCTCGAGTATTTGTAATGCTGCGAAACTATGCTGTTCTACAGTTACGAAAACAAATTTATTTAGCCCAAATATAGTTTTACCGCGTAGAAGAAATGGGAAAACATTACAAAATAAAAACAGTCATGATAACTGATAACGAGCTTCGAAAAAGTTTGTTGATAGGTCGCAGTTTACATTGAAGTGAGAAAATTAATACCGGCATGATTGTAACCGATTAAGGGTAAAGGTGTGGAGATCAATCCTTAGATCAGAGGTGACTGCAACAGGCTTGCTTGCTTTTAGTGGGTGAAATACCACTGAATGCAGAAGATCAAGTCCAACAGCTGAATATACTCGTCGGATCCATCCACGAGACGTGCCTCAATTACCTAAAATGACAAACTTTATGAGTCCAAAAGTCATTGTAATTGACGTCAGAACTGCGGCCAACTCGTCCACGAGGGTTTCAACTTTCAAGCTGTTCCCCTCCACAAAATAGGCTATGACCAATTGGAACTGACCGTAGTACTAGAAGCTTGATTCTGAACTCGATTGGAGATCATTCGACTTCACAGTGCGGAGTAGATGAGGTCGCTGGTCACGCGCATGTTGTTTTTGGTTCTTACTTCGGGGTGTACGACTAAAACACCGTCAAAAAATCGCCACTACTCTTGATATTGGCGCGTGCGTAAGTGGAAGAGAATTGTGGAGCTTTGATTTACGTCGGAAATTCACTCATTGATACAGCGTGTCCCTATTCGATTAGAATATGGTCTTGGGCGATTCCTCGCAATGGTGAGAGTCGTCAGATCTGCATCGTATATGGCGCGATGTAGCCGCTCTGCAATGGCAAAAGCGACAGCGATTGGTATCGCTTTGCCAAAAAGCGAGCGGCGGGCAATGTACCAAGGGTAAATCTCCCGTCGCTCGCACTTTGGAGCGATGCCAATCGCCCGTCGCTTGTGCACATTGCAAGAGCGACTGCATCGCGCGATGCAATCGCAGAGTCTGACCGACATCTGACCTTGCTCGACTGGCCAAACCGATTTAGGTTATCTGCACCAATAGCAACAGAAATGACGAGCAGAAGTATTTGTATTTTTTCAAGAAACTTTCGATCAAACCCATCTATTATAGAGATCAGATCAAAACAAACATACCGCCATTTTCTCAAAAATGACACCCTTATCGATGTCGCTGATACTGTCATCGTCAAGCAGTTGATCGAATATCTGATTGATTAATGAAGGCCCTGCATACCCTGCACGATACACTTCGTCAAGAGCCACTAAAAGCCTATCAGTATCTCGCGAATGGCAGGCAGTTAACAGCTGGTGAGCCTAAATAGATGGTAACTGAGTAGTGAATGTTCTGTTTATACAGAAAGAAGCCGGAATAACAAGATATTCTCGAATATGCAGGAAATCTGTGAATATGAATGGAACCACTTACATTATCCTCAGCAACATATCCAGTCATATTTAATACGTAGTCATTTGTGATGTTCTCTCGACAAGCCACAGACTGCAGGTATGTAATCGACCTTCGAAGATCCCCTTCGCACAACGTAATGAGTGTTTCAAGAGTAGTCTTGTCAATATTGACACCCTCTTTGTCGCAAATCTCACGCATCCTGAATGGTAGAAAAATGATCAGCGATTATAATCAAAATGGACAACAGATGACTGTTGAATAATGGGATTATATGTAGAAGCAGGAGAATGGAAATTTTCAATTAATAAATCCTAATACATATTACTCCTACTCAGTAACCTAATCCGAAGGACAAAGTGATGCGATCAACAGTGGTAAACCTCAATGAGCGTAAGGTATGCCGAAGCACTTAGTTCACAATAACCATTCAAACTAAATCCATATGCACCTTTGTAGCTGTGATTCCGTTGGAAGCGGCTTGAAAGCGAAACTTCGCACATCGTGAAGTGAGAGGGTCGATTATTCGAGAAATATAATTGCATATCAGGAAGAACCTGAAAGAAGTCATATTTCATGATAATTCTAACTACCTAGGAATCAGTATCAACCGTCCGTTAGCACCATTCGAACGAAGGGGTCCCATTTGTGATTTAGGGAAGGGGTGTCACATCTAGGCGTTGAGCAAGATGAATGGTCCTTGGAGAGCTATGAAAGTGGTTAAGCGGGGTTGATATTTGAGTGGTTCTTTTCGTGAATCTGGTGAAAGTTTACGAAATACAAGAATTAGGCAAAATTGGTGGATTTCCTTCTTCATGATACCATTTACCCCACATCTACGCCTCCACCCTTCCCTCCCACTCGATGGCGGCTGTGTTGAAGGAAGAAAGTGAACGGAGTTGGGCTGTGCCGACTGGTCTCAGGACCAAATACCATATAAACAGCCATGATGGCGAGGGTGGCGGTCAGGGTAGGGAGTAGGGTGGTCTATTAGGGAAGCCCTACCTCATGGATGTGTTGGGGTGCGCATAGAGAACCTCTAATGGTGGGGAAGGGTCGCAAAAAAAGCGACAGTTGACTCTGCTAGGAATTACTAAAATTGAAAAGATACCTTGTTGTTTTGCAATACTTTTCTATTATTCTGCGCATAGCTGCTTGGTGCAGAACAGTCATTGCTCAGCTTATCCGAAAACACGATTTTTTTATTTTTTTTTTTCAAAGAAAGGGAAAACCCACCAGCCTTAGATACTGCACGATGTGCAAAATCTTTGATCTAAAAAAGGCTCGGTCAAGAACAAATCACACGAAAAACAAAAGGAAAAAAGCGCTTCAGCGACACATACCCTTGTTCGTACAACTTGTATGCCTCTTTCGTCAGAAGCATTTAATTCAAGGACGCGGTCTCGATACAATTCAGGGCTTGGGAACAATTGGCGACAGAAAGCAATAGCAGCAGAGGTTTTTCCAGTACCCGGAGGACCGTACAGCAGTATATTTGGCATCTGCAGTGAATCATTATTGCGAAGCAAAATCGTAGTCATCAGTACTATACCACCCTTTTAGGATCTCACTCACGTCGGATCCATCCAAAACTTTTTTGAGCACCGCGACAACTTCTTTTTGGTAGACGATGTCACTGACCTTCCTTCGGGCGACTAAATAAGTTAAATTTCGTTGTTTTCTAAACAGTAACCAACATTCGACTTACTATTTCTCGACCCAAGGTACTCGCGTCTGAGCATTAGGAGTCGGCTCTTTGCTCTTGGCAGAAAAGAAAGTATTCATCTGAAAAGGATTGATACTCTTCTAAGGCACATTCCAGGATCGAGATTGTGATTATTTCGCTCGAAAATGAATACGGAGGTGTAAAGAAAACCGGCGAGGAAACAATGCAAAAAATATCATCGATAAGTATGAAATTAAGGGCCTCCTTCCTTTGCAAGGTCAAGAGTAAGACTATAGAGAAACACAGCGCATGGACTGGAGAGAGCGAACGGGATAGTACGCAGTACGAAAAAGCGCAGACACACAGCCGTTGCATAGGTAACAATAGGAGAGAAAGTCAGAGGCAGTAATCGGGACCAGCGCTCTTGTAGCGCAAAACTCGAACCATAAAAACTACTGTGCCTTCGTGAACAGCTTTATCTCAGCCACTGAAAGGATTGTTCCAATGGGCTAAACACGGAGTGTGCGATAAAAGCCTACACGATCAAGGTTCAATTAGCCTCTAATCCTTGTTATCAGTAGGGTTTGGAACAGAAAGACGTTAACTTCGACAATATTCGCGCAATGATTTTAGAGCAGAGATTGAAATAGTTCTGATTATTTTTGTAAATCTACCCAATCTTGATACCGCAATGCCCCCTCAAAATCATGAAACATTTACAGATAAAGGTCTCTTTAAATGTGACACAGCACAGAGCAGAGCATTGATAGGGGATTGACTGTATGGGTAATACCAGCATTTGGCCGATCACTCCAGGCATCGTCACATCATAACCTCGTCGACGGAAGAACACACACGCAATAAGAATCATCTGGGCTAACGGGATCCTACTTACTATAAAGCGCTTCGTCTGTCGTCTGTCTGTCTGTCGTTCTGTATGTCTGTCACGAAATTCCCTAGCTCCTCGGGATCCGCCTGGAGGGACCGGGTCAAGTGTGGGATGGGTGGGCAAGGTCTCACGAAGTACAAAACACACATCAGCTAAGCGGAGCCCCGCCCACAGAGGGCGTGGCGTGCGTCGAAATGAACTGTACTGAGACCAAGATTTCAATTTCAGTGACAAAACAACCTCGAAACTGGGCCAAAAAGTGGGTAAAGGTGTGCATTGGTAAGTCACATCGAATTAGGGAGACCCACCCCCGGTGGGCGGGGCGTTCTCCAAAAAAGCAGTGCTTTATGAAAAATTTCATAACTCGGTGTACAGCGTTTTCTACAAGTCCTCATAATTCGGGTCGGAGAAGTCTTAGTGAGAAAGGTGGATAGAGGTGGGTGGAGGAGTGGAGGCCAACTGTCATCGGTGGGCGGGGCATGACCAAAGTGGGCGGAGTTTGCGACGAAAATTCATAACTCGGTTCCAAGAAGTCCCGGAGGACCGGGAAAAAGGTGGATAGAGGTGGGTGGAGGAGTGGAGGCCATGCTATTGGTGGGCGGGGCATGTCCAAAGTGGGCGGAGTTGCGACGGAAAATTCATAACTCGGTTCCAAGAAGTCCTGGAGACCTGGAAAAAGGTGGATAGAAGTGGGTGAAGGAGTGGAGCCCAACTACTGTTGGTGGGCGGAGCATTTCCAAGGTGGGTGGAGTTCTCCACAAAACTTTGTGACTCGGCTGCAAGAAGTGCTGGAGACGAAGCGAAGGAAAGGAAGTGAATTTCTAATGGTGTGCGGAGAGATACACCAAAAAAGGATTCGCCGCCAAAATTATAAATCGGCTCAGAGATAGTTCAGAGATCGGGTAAAAAGTGGGAAGAGGTTGGCGAGGAAGAAAAAGATAGGTGGGACATGCAAAGAAATAGGCGGAGTTCACCACGAGGTTCATAAATCGGTCCCGGAGGCAGTCCGAGGTCGGAAAAAACGGACAATTGGTTGACGACTACGGGCAATTGGTGGAGGAAGGAGGGAAGCTCAAATAGGTCAATGAATCATGGGCAATCGGACAGGCTTGAAAGTCAAATATTCGAAGTGTAATGGGCCAAATTCGAAAATTCACGCCGCACCATCCTATATCGCCGCAGAACTGTGCTGCGCGCGCAACGCCTGCGGTCTGTCTGATGGACGGAGCCTGTTCCGTTGTCTTGCTGCCATCTTGCAAGACGCCATTTCCCAACCCTTCCTCTATGTTGCCATTTATGCACTCGCACCCCACAACCATTTCCTAGATAAGCTACGGCCCTTCTTGCATAGGCTGTAATTCTCGCTCTAAGTCATACGCACGAAAGCCAGGGCCTCTCCAATCAAGGCCACGTCAGGAAAACAATCGTATAGTAATATCAGTCGATTCTAAATTAATATAGGGTGCTCACGTCGCTTTAGGGGACACTGAAGTGAGTGAAGCACTCACAGAACTTGGAAAAGCTCGGGGAAGAGATTCTGGGGGAGGAAAGGAATAAGCTTTGCCTTCCTCAACGTTTTTCCGCTCTCCATGGCTTTGTCCTAGGTCTATACCAGCGTCTTTGAGTGCCCTGTTTTGAATGTCCCCCCTCTGAGGAATGAGCGCCCGATATAATAACCATTGAGAACCACTACAAATACAACACAAATGATCATCGTCTATGGCGAACCAGATAAAGTGGAAATTATCGACCATGAAGGAGTATTTTACACGAATCCCAAAACAATTTATTAAGAATGATTTACGACGAAGAAAAAAAAACATTTAGATGAAACCTGCAAGGCAACTATCATAAACACGAAGATCACCTATTGCCGCACTTGAGAATTCAAGCGATCGTTGCTGCGTAGCGCATCATCTTCCGTCTTGACGAAGAGCCAACCAGGGACGACGGCATTCTCAACGAGGGCCGTCCTGCATCAGAAGCGATGTCGAGACTCGAGACGGTGAAGACAATGACCAGACCTATGTCTCTAGTAACTAAAAGTCTAGTTACTAGTCTTAGTAGTCCAAGAGTAGTAACTTCCTGCCAATTAAACAAACCAAGCGACAATATATTCCTCCACCTTTATTAAACAACAAATTTGGAAATTAAAAAGTACACTGCACGAAACACAGACTCGCCACAATATAACAGAAAATTTTCAAATCCCTAACCTTTCACCAAACTATGGAATGAACCGTTGAAAGTGCTGCGCACATATAATCACTTTACCTAGAGAACAAAATACAGGGTACAAAAATCACACGATTAATGAAATGCTTGCAGATTGAGACTCGCGGCTAATACTTTTTGTGGTAACAACGAGTCACCAATAACTTGCCTGTGACGAGGCCCTGGAACCCACAGCAGATTCTGTGAGCTACATTAAAGTAAGTTTGAAGTAAGTTCAGACAGATCTGATTCTTTTTAATCAGTACTTCCAGATAAGAGCGCTTGGATTACTCCTGTTACAGATATTCCCCAACGCTTGTTACATTGAGTGCCTCTCCAAAATTGCAGAAAGTTAACAAACAGCGGTACAAAGGTACAACAAGCTCGACTGCAATAAGCTGAGGAAATAGATCGTCTGCTCTGATTCTAATGAATTAATCCTCTACGAAAACTGTCCACTGCGTCGGAGAAATAGAAATTAAGTCGCGAGTCTTAATAAGCTATGCGTTCATGAACTATTCATACATAGCGATGAGGTACATCATGAATATTCCTGCCAGAAGTGCAAAAATTTCACGTAATGACTGTGCCGTTGAGACTTTTCGAGAAGTTCAGGAATAACAGAAACAGTTAGCTGTTAGGATGAAGCTTCCAGGCTTGCAATATTTTGGTAATCCTTTGGAAACTGGGTTGTGTACCATAAAAGTCATAAGTGTGAATCGCACGTAAAAAGTGTTGAAGAACGCACCTGTGAAAGGAAGGATCCAGCTACTAGCGGCCGAATCAGCAAGAGCCTCCGGATCAGCAACCCACAATGCAAGAGCACATCCAGAAAGAGCTTCCTAGTGCCGTGAGCAGTTGAATACCCATAGCCTAACAAAAGGACACTTAGTTGCTTCGTGTCTTATGCAAGAACTATACATGCATTGCACTTACGCGCGTGTATGCCAGCGTCTTATGATACACGGAAGAAAGAAGTCCAATTACTTGAAAAAAATGGCTACGTTTTGGAACGTTATTCACTTGTACCTCCCATTCTTCGTAGGCCAAATCACCCAGGCATATTTTCGTCTGCACTCTAGGGTGCGCCACACACTTTAAATAATAATTTTGACTTGTTTTGTTTGTTAACTGCTGTTTTAACGCCGCAGTTCGCGTTGCGAATGTTTCACAAGAATGCTGGGTTGTGAACAAAACTTTCGCCCCAGGCGGGACTAGAACCCGCACCTCTCGCTTTCCGGGCAAGTGCGCTACCAGTTACGCTACCGGGGCACCATTTCATTCCAACTCAGCTTTTCATGGTATACGTACCATAGCTTTCAGCACTCACACGTATAACGTGTTGAGTAACACGTAACAAACAAAACAAGTCAAAATTCATTGCTAAAGCTTTCAGCCTCGCGGTCATTGCCGATATCGGCTAACCGGCTCAACACGTTAGACGTGTGAGTGCTGAAAGCTATGGTACGTATACCATGAAAAGCTGAGTTGGAATGAAATGGTGCCCCGGTAGCGTAACTGGTAGCGCACTTGCCCGGAAAGCGAGAGGTGCGGGTTCTAGTCCCGCCTGGGGCGAAAGTTTTGTTCACAACCCAGCATTCTTGTGAGATATAAACCAACACGCTTC